TTTGTTCCTACAGTCCATCAGAGCGTTTGGAGGGAAAGACCCCCATCCACACGCTCCCTTCCGCCAAGTAGCAATCGGAAGAAGGCGCATCCTCAGACTCACGCACGCCTCGCCCGAACCAGCAGGCGGGCGCGCGACGATAGGGCGGACCCGGGCTCTGGGGCCTAGAGCCAGGCCCGGCATCTCCGCGGCGGGAAGGGTCGACCCCACGAGCTGGAGGGACGAGAAGCACTACGCTCGCGCTGGAGTGCCGGGTAAGCGGTAAGATGTATGGGCCGGGGTCGCCCAGGATGCTGGGGTTCGGGTGGCCACTGAGGCCTTTCTCACCATCGCGCCAAACTCTCTTCACTGCAGCCTCTGCCGACACCGCCGCCACACACGAGCTTAGCCGCAACGCAGCCAACAGCCAATCCCCGCGATAGGAGCAGACGGAAGTCGTCGGAAGCGCAACGCGAAAGAACCTTTTGAGCCATAGAGACACTTCCGGCGGCTAGAGCAGACCTGACGCTACTTCGGCCATATTGGGTTAGGGTGGTGTGCTACGTAAGAGAATAATGTTTCGGAGCTTTATAAACAGTGTTTATTTTCAAGGCGCTGTCCTCTGTATTCTCGCTATTAGGCACACGGTCAAAGAGGTCAACACTACAGATAGCGAATCCAGTAAGCTTTCATTAGCCCCACTAAAAAATGGCGGCAATATGAGTGTCCTGTGCCATAGGTCGGTTGTAACCCGGAAGTGCCCTTCCAAAGGAGGGGGCGGTGAGGCAATCCGGAAGTGGATGCAATGAAAAGGTGCCACTTGGCGGCCATGGCAGCTGTAGTATCGCCGACTCCGGGTCAAGGCCCGGCGAAGTGGAGTACCATGGGCAGCTGCGGGTATAGGACAGAGGCAGCTTTGTATCAGCTTTGCTGCTGTGTCTCTAGGACCCGTCGTCAGAGACCTGCAGACCTTCCTTCCCTCTCCATTCTAGACTCGGAGGGGAGTTTGCAGGAACTGGTGGGCTGGTCCCAGCCAGAGGGTGATCACCGGCGGGGCTGCCTAAGGGAGACCCGGACGCCGAGAGAACTGGTTCCCTTGGGTTTTCTTCTTTTCCTGCTGCTTCCGGGAACGCTGTCTGTGGAGGGCTTGAGCCCGTTGTGCCACTCTCATAACGACAGTTGAAGAAATCGCTCGTTCGCACACATTTTCCCCTTTGACTTTTCTCATCTTTATTTAACCCACGAGAATCCAGTGACTGGCATCTGAGAACCTAGGGCTAGGACCTAAGATTGTTGGAAATTCTCGCAGGTGCTAAAATCAGCAAAAGGGGGCTGTCTCCAGGTACGTTCAAGAGAAGGGTGCCCCGTGAACAAATCTGGTGGGGAGGCCGAAAGAACTGGAAAGCCAGCTTGTTCTCTTGGAACTATCACACGTGATTAAAGAACCAAAGCACCTTTCAAAACCGCTGGAAAGTTGTGGTTTGGTGGTGGCGGGTGAAAAAGGAGGGCAGAATGGATGATTTCATCTCCATTAGTTTGCTGTCTCTGGCTATGTTGGTGGGATGTTACGTGGCTGGAATCATTCCCTTGGCTGTTAATTTCTCTGAGGTAAGGAACCTAATTTTCTGTCACCTGTCAGGATGGCGACTAGGAAGTGGTGATGTAGACTCATGAAGGATGCGTTCTCTTTGAGGAAGGCTATCTTTTAAAAAGAGCCATAACGTTTAATAAGAGAAATAAACCTTATATTCAGCACTGTAATTCATAACCTGGGGTTAGCTGATATATCACTGACGATTCTGGAGTATTCTGACTCCTCTGAAATTGCATACAAAACTGTGAGAATCCGTGTGTTTTCCTGGAGAGAGGTATTGTAACATTTATTTTGATTTCCAGAGGTTCTAAGGAATCAAAGTCCAGGTTGTTATCAAGAAAGTAAATGGAGCTTGTTATTTATCCATAGTTGAAATCGACATGGTAACTTCTCTTTTTGAAAAGACCAAACATACTTTTGTTTTAAATAATTATTTTTAAAAATTATTATTATTATTATTATTTTAATTGCTATAGGCCCTGTGTACTCACCAGAAGTGGAGGGATGGAGGTTGAGGGAGTGAGAAAGCAAGGCTCCAGGTCTGGAATGCAAACTGTGGTCAGCTGTATGAGAGTCCAGCACCTTGACCGCCATACCTCCTACTGGCCCTGCAAACCTGCTTTTTAAAGGGAATCTAAGTTTTTTTGGATACCTGTGCTAGAATGAATTTAAGACGAAAAACAATGAAGGAGAACATTAGAATGGAGTTTTTCAAATCTGTTTGCTTAGAAGTTATTGTAAAATAAATTTGGACATTTTAATTAATTTATTCAGTTTTTATTACTTGAACAAACATTAATGGGGGTGGGGAAGAAGAAAACACTGTTCAATGAAAATATAGATAGGTTCATTAGATTATCATAAAGAGTTCACAAAGTGCACATTGCTCAAAGTTTTTTGGGGGGTGGTGGTGGGGAGGGAACTATTAATGCATTCTGAGGGAGCAGGATTCCTGAGTTCTTCTTGGAATTTAGCAGTAAAATATTAGCAGTAAAATAGGCTCTGCCCTCAATGTCAATCCTGAACGTTTTTTCCAAGGAAAGTGACTTGAATTAGAAAGGAAAGATGTAGATGATGAGGGTGAGGCAGGCCTTGAAGAAACCTGAGAAAGTGGAGGCATTGCAGTGAAGAAAATAGTGGATGGGAAAGAGAGTGGGATGGAGCATTATTGAGAAAAAGTGAAGCCAAATGGAAGAGAGGCCTGAATTGTTGAGGTTCCTTTTCCATTTCCTATTTTTTTTTATCTGTACTTATACTAGTGTATGTTTTTTGTTTTTGAATACCTATATTACCTAACTTCATTTTTTTTAAGTGGGGTACAGACCGAGAAACTGAGAATCAGACAAATTGTGTAACTTAGGAGTGCGTGCAGTTACACTACAATCATCTGTGTTTTAAATCTAAATTGTTTTCTGATTCTTCACAGTTTTTAGCCACTCTGCCTCAGTGACAAAGGTACTTGGTATATGAACAAGCTACAGGTATACCAAATCTAGCCCACAGGCTTACTTTGTTAGATTAGCAGACTATTCAGTTCTGTTGTTATACCTGTAGTCTCTCAGGCAACAGGTGAACAGCTGAGTAGCAGCCCCTTGTCCTGTTCTGACTGTCCTAGTCTTCCTTGACCTGTGAAGCCTACTTCACTCATCTGGGTTACCTGCCTAATATAGTGTGAGCCTTCTGTCTTTCCTCTCATATAAACCTTATTTTCTTATAACTACATTAGAAATTAAGTTGACAGTTGGAGTGACTTTTGTAAGGTTTGGTTTGGTGTGTTTATTTAAAAACGTATTGAGATGGGTCCAGCAGATGTTTACATCGCTGGACTCTCACATGGCTAACCGCGGTTGGAGTCCCAGACCTGCTGGCTTGAAACTCACGCTGGACATATGTGCATGTATATCCATAAATCCTGAGAGGAGAATGGAGGAGAAGGGATTGTGGAATGGCCACCCCCTCTGGGGGGTGATTTCTGGCTTTCTGTCTCTCTGTCTCTCTGTCTCTCTTTCTCTGGCAAGCACATGCCTTATAGCAAAAACCTCTCTAGAGAAGAAGAAAACATATTGCAGTAACGTTTTTGAAGAATTATAATTAACTCAAGTTCACAACAGGTGAAACTTTTAATTTGCATAAAATGCTTAGACCTTTTACCAGTTTCAGATTTTTCTCAAACTGTCTTGAATGATTATTATAATATACAGTTATATGCTGTTTTCTTTTTCACATGAATAGTGTTGTTGACCAGGCCATTAATAAAGATAATTTATTATTATTAATATTGTTTGTGGCTTTTTAAGTTGATCTAGTAATTCTTGCTGTATGCCTTAAAATGCTATAAATCAGCATTCATAACATTTATTTATTACTACAGCAAGAGAAATGCTTTTAAACTATTAAAGTGAGAGCTGTATATAACTTAGGCAAAGATATTTTAGGATTCAACTGCTGTTTTCTATCTTCTACGAACTAAACATTTTCTCTAGTCAAATTATGCTGTTTTTAGAGACCAGTGTGTTAGTAATATGAAACCAGGGAGATGATAAATTGGTGAAACTGGGCTCAGCTGTGGCAGTGCAGGTGGACGAGCACTGCTATACGATGCTCGATGCTTGGGAAGCCCAGGGTGAGACCCTGAGCCAACCTGAACGGGCACGATGCAGTGGTGGGAGCTTTTGGTCTTAGCTGACTGTGAGACTAGACAGGGGATTACGATGTGGCAAAACTAAGTTAAAAATACTTCTTTCTTTCATAAGAAAAGAAGAACAAAAACCAACTTCAATCATGGGAGGCTGATAAGCACAATTTTTATCCTTAGCAAAATGGCTCCCTAAACTGCTATGTTGGCTAACAGACTTTCCTTTTAACAAAGACTAGTTTTTCTTAGGGACTAATGTTATTTATTAATAAGAGAACCAAGTAAACCTACTGTATTTTTTATTTTTTTGGAGAGGTTTTTGCTATAGGGCGGCGCGTGTGCTCGCCAGCAAGATAGACAGGCAGAAAGACAAAAAGTGAGAAATCACCTCCCAGCGGGGATGGCCACGCTGTATGCCCGGCATGAGTTTAAGCCACAAGATCCAGGACTCGAACTGCGATCGGCTACATGGGAGTCCAGCAGCATAGCCATTATGCCAACTGCTGGTCCCAAACCTACTGTATTTTAAAGTTCACTTTGTTGTTTTTTTTCTCCTAATTTTGCCAGAGGGCGCATGCATTCACCAAAGGGTAGAGGGAGAGAGCAAGCATTCCTCTCTGGTCTCTTCCTAATCCCCTCTACTTCACTATCCCACTGGACATGCACACACATGTGTCCACGGAGTTTGCCATGTGGGATCCAGCTGCTCCAACCACCAGGCCACAGGGCTGGCCCTAGTTCCTTTTTTTATGAATTATTTTATTTTAACTTTATTATTATTTTCTAATTTGACCAGAGAGAGACAGATAGAGAAAGGGAAAGTGAGAAAGGAAGCTACCAGGTCTAAGGCTTAAACCATGGTCGGCCATGTCCAACCACCAGTCCACCTGCTGACCCCCCCCTAGTTTGCTTTTATTTACATGAAAAGGTATGAGTTTTTTTAAAAGAAGTATTTATTTAAGTTTATTTATTTATTTTAATTTGACCAGAGAGGTACACAGAGAGAGAGGAAGCCACCAGGTCCGGGACTCAAACCATGGTCGGCCATGTGGGAGTCTAGTGCCCTTAACTACCATGCCACCTGCTGGCTCCAAGGTATGATTTTTATTCATATTCTTTTTTTTTTTTTTTTGAGGTTTTCGCTATAGGGCACATGCGCTCGCTAGACAGAGAGAGACATAGAGACAGAAAGCGAGAAATCACCCCCCGGGGGGATGGCCATGCCGCAATCCCTTCTCCTTCATTCTCCTCTCAGGATCTTAGGCACGCACGCACACGCGCCCGGTGTGACTTTTAAGCCACCAGGTCCGGAATGCGAACCGCAGTCGACTACGTGGGAGTCCAGCAATATAGCCATTACGCTAACTGCTGGTTCCCAATTGTTTTTGTTTTTGTCATAGGGTGTGTGGCCTGGCCAGAGAAAGACATGAGAGGGAAAGTGAAAACTCACCCACCAGAGGGGATGGCTATACTGCAGTCCCTTCTCCTCCATTCTCTTCCTGGGATTTTGAGCACGCATGCACAAATGCCCAGTGTGATTTTCAAGCTGCCAGATCCAGAACTGGAACCATGGTTGGCCATGTAGGAGTCCAGCATCTTAACCACTATACCACCTGCTGGCCCCTTTATTCATACTCTTAATCTTGCTACTACTTTGTCATTCAATAAATTTTCATTCAGAACTTCTCAGAGCAGGAATAAATGTCAGGTGATTAAAAAACTATGAGTTATGGTATGGATTATTATTTAGACATTTGTCTAAAATCAAGTAGTATAAACTTGCTATAGCAGTGGAGACCCCCTGCCATATCTGACCATCAAGAGGTTTTTGGGAATTGATTTTTCTACCACTTTCTCCAATACTCTCAAAACCATCTTTCTTAATACTTTTGTGATCTTCTTTCTTTCTTTCCTTTTGACCTACCAACAATTATCTTTTTTTTTTTTCCCTTTCCTAAATTTTTAGTTTTTGCTGTAGGTCTTCTGCACTCACCAGAGAGAGATAAAGTAAGAAAATCACCCCCCAGGGGAGATGGCCACACCACAGTCCCTTCCCTCCATTCTCCTTTAGGGATTTTGGGTACCTGTGCACACGTGCCTGGTGTGTTTTTCAAGCTACTGGGTCTGGGATTTGAACTGCGGTAGGCCGAATGGGAGTCCAGCACCTTAACCTCCACGTCACCTGCTGGCCTACTAACAATATCTTTATGCTAAGCAATTTATAAAGCAAAAGAAAAAGTATAATCTCTGATTCTCAGATGAAACTTTAACTATGATAACAGAGATGCTAATTTTTCCAGCGTAAGACGAAAAAAGCTAAATTTGTAAAGGACGCCAAAGCATGCTTTACACAGATGAAATTCTGTCTGGTAAAGGAGT